TGGGTTGTGAGGTTTAGTGTGGTTTTTCTTTGCTTCTTTCCTTTTTTTGTTTTTACTTTCTGCCTTTACTCTTCCGTATTACTTACAATATCTTTGTAATATAAAAACATTATGTATATTGTATAAAAACTATAAAGGAATTTTCCTTTAAAAGAAATGTCAGATATTCCTGTCTCAGTCAATGAATAAATCAATCTGAAAAATCAGTTGCATCTAAAATTGAAAGGGGACTTTGCAGATCAGAGCAAAGCAGAGGACATTGTTCTTTTGGGGTTAACTGCACAGGCTATCCCTGTGGAAATGAAAGCATGGTCAGCTTCGAGGCCCTCCCCCAACCAAGGGAGACAGGGTCCACACTTCCGCATTCTCCTGCACTGTCTACACCACAAACAACAGTACCCTCATCTGCAAGATAACTGGCTAGACTTACAAGATACACCCTCAGTCCTAAAATCATTTTTTTTCTTTATATTTAGCTGAATGATTCACGAAAGCCCTAAATCCTAGAAACCTGGAATTTTAAAGCTGGATGATAGTTCAGAAATCACCTAAGAATTGTAATCCCTATACTTTCTAGTTGAAGTCACAGTGCGAAGAGATGCAGCATCTTGCTCAAGGCCACCAGGATGTGGCTGGACCCTAGATGGTAACCTTGTCCTTCTGACTTCAAGTTCAACAACAGCCACTCTGCTAACCCCAGAGTGGCACATTTCTGGTTCTCTTTTCATTTGTCCTGACTTACTATTTCTATTTATGGCTTTATTATTGTTGCGATATTGTTGTCAGTTGTCCCAAACCATCTGTGGTAAGAGGTGGGGGACTAAATATTTACACTGTAAAGGACAGGACAGCTCTCCTAACCCCCAGTGCAAGTGTTCTCTCCAAAGAGGCTAGCGTGTCAGAAGCCTGGGGTCCACTGTTACTTCATGGTCACTGACAGTATCTGCTGTGTCCCTGGGGTCGTGAAGACTTGCAGTAGTGATAAGCATACTGTGCACACTTACAGGCTTCCTTTCCAGCTGGAAATTCCTTGAAAGTGATTTCTTTTAATGTTTTACTGGCAAGTCATGTATCTATTCAAGAACTTATTTAATAATCATGAATAAAATTACCAAAGGTGAGAGTAGAAATTCTTGTTAGAACAGACTCACAGACAGAGAGAATAGACTTGTGGTTACCAAGGGTGTGTGTGTGTGTGTGTGTGTGTGTGTGTGTGTGTGTGTGTGTGTGTGTGGAGGGGGCGGGTTGGAGGAGGGATCGATTGGGAGTTTAGGATTAATAGATGTCAACTATATATATAGAATGGATAAACAACAAGGTGCTACTGTATAGCACAGGGAACTATATTCAATATCTGTGATAAGCCATAATGGAAAAGATTATGAAAAAATATATATATATATATAAGACTGAACTGAATCATTTTGCTGTACAGTAGAAATTAACACAACATTGTAAATCAACTATCCTATAGAATCAACAACTAAACTCTATAAAAATATTTATCTATATAACACTTCAGTGGTGGAAGGACAGAAAAAAACTGCATTGACTATTTCTGACCCTGAAAACACAACTAATTAGCAATAACACCAAAAGGATCAGTAAGTTGAGCTTCCAGGTCTGGTAGGGTATTAAATTAATAATGACTTGCAAAAATTCAGTTATAATCCACTTAATTATTTCATGCTAGATGACTGCTCAAATTGGTGTCAATAATCTTTTAACCAAAGAAAATCAGAAGAACCTGCTACATTAATATTTTAATATATTTATATTTTTATGCCCTCTTTATTTCCTCTCTTCGTTTGAAAAGGTACAACCAAGGTTATGGATTGTATATCTTCTATAGACCATTGACATCCTGATAGGGAATAGTGGCCATCTTTGAACAACCTGCCTTTAACTTACTGGTCTTAAATCAAGGCTGTCAATCATTGTTGGAACAGAACAAAGTGAATTTAATGCAGTGAACACACATCCATTAAATTCAAGTCAAGGAATAGGAGCTGTTTTAAATAAGGCTTAAACATAATACAAACCCTTCCATGGTCAAACACAGAAATAGGGCTCTTGATTATTCACTCTATTTGGTGGCGGAGAGGGGGGGCGGTTTACATACCATAAGAATCACATATAAAGAAATGCCAAACTCCAAGGCAAAACTTTTTAAACATAAGAATTATATTGAGAAGTAGCCCAGTGCCAGTTTTTATCTTGTAGATTAATATAGAGAGGTGTTCATCGTCTTGTTTGAAAAATAAAAACTTATTATGTAAATGTGTATTGATTTCATCTCAATAACAAGATCAACAGTAAAAATAAGTATTAGACAGTTGTCGCACAAAAATTAAAGGCTTTATGCTCTGTGTGTGTTTATAATAATAATAACAGAACCTTAAGGTGTAGCAATGAAGAATTAGCTTATTTTAAAGCAATTGTGTGGGAGGCAGCTAATAAAATTACATTGCCATTATATACACTTGTCTTTCCACAAGAATAACAGCAATCAAGTCAAATTAAATTTAAAAGAATACACTAAAATACTCACTGCTCAAAGGTGATCAACAGATCTTTCTTAAGCATCTAACTGTGATAATTAGGAGGATAATGTTTGATTTGCCCATAAAACTCATTATTTCTTTTCTATTTCTGGGATTCATTTATCTCACTTACCTGTGACCTGTTTAGTATGGATCTGGGTCACTTTTAAATTAAAGAGTATACATCTTAGTGTAACGAAAAATCTACGAAAGGACTGCGGATATAAATAAAATGCGGGCATTCCCTAAATTACAAATATCCAATTTATGAACACACATGCATATGAGCAGAGACCTGGGGAATAAAAGGTATAACCAGTCTTGCCAGCCCCAATGCCTACAGCCTCATGCAGGTAAAATAAAATACATGAATAGAGCCACTCTTTACATGGAGGCAGCCTCTATGCAGGCTGCCAAATTATTGCTACATAGGAATAAGGGGCAGCAAATCCACTTTCTTACCTAAAATCTCTAAATGTTTGAATATTGGACATACCAATTCAAAACTTTTAAAAATATTTTGTAGGCCACACAGAAGACTTCTATAAGCCATTATGAACCTTCTTCAATGTAAAACTCATGATGGTCAAGAGAAATAATTCTCCAGTCTACGTTTATTCAAAATGTGAAAATCTTGTCTGTTCTGCTTTAAAACATGTTTTCAGAATGTAAAAGAGTGGTGAATAGGGGAACTGTGTTAATAGAACATAAGTGACACACTGTGGCTTCCCTGGTGGCGCAGTGGTTGAGAATCTGCCTGCTAATGCAGGGGACATGGGTTCGAGCCCTGGTCTGGGAGGATCCCACCTGCCGCGGAGCAACTAGGCCCGTGAGCCACAACTACTGAGACTGCACGTCTGGAGCCTGCGCTCCGCAACAAGAGAGGCCGCGATAGTGAGAGGCCTGCGCACCGCGATGAAGAGTGGCCCCCGCTCACCGCAACTGGAGAAAGCCCTCGCACAGAAACGAAGACCCAACACAGCAAAAATTAATTAATTAATTAATAAACTCCTACCCCCAACATCTTCTTAAAAAAAAAAAAATGACACACTGGTTTTTCACAGTTTTCTGCCAGCACATTAATGTTTTGTGTCACACAGTGATGGCAGCTGGATGCAAAGTATATTAGCCTAGCTCAAAGCAACAAGTCACAGAGGAATACAGTATTGGTCCGTCCACCCCGCTCTGTCTTAGAAGTGATTACTGACTTCTAAGACAGAGCAAAAAAAAATTATTTACACAGTTTTCCCCAATCTTTTTGTATTTTGGCCTTGTACCATTATCTACAGACTCAATACTTCCTTGAACATCCCTTTCGTCAAGCCACCTTCATTTTTAAAGTCTTATATTTGCTGTAGTGTATATTTATTAAGAAAACAGTATGACTGATTTATAAAATACTAAAATTTGATTGAAGTTACTGTTTTATTAATACTTCGTTTACAATGTTACCTCAGTGTTCAGTCGGTCCGCCTCAATCTTATTTTTCCCAAAAGTGCTGCTATTTTGGGTATGGGCTTCTACAGAACACAAGTTCTCTCTTAGGAGTACATATATCACATTATAGCAAAAATATTACCCATTGTTGACATATGGATGTGGGATTTCAAGTTAGATCTGTTCACTAATTAATGTCATTAAACTAGCCTTTCAAAATATGTGATTCACTTTTGGCTAAGCCCTTTGTTCTTAATCGGTTTACACTGCTATAATATAAACACCATGGACTGGGTGGCTTAAAACAACAACATTTATGTCTCATAGTTCTGGAGGCTCGGAAGTTCAAGATCAAGCTACCAGCAGATCTGGCATCTGGTGAGAGCCTGCTTCCTGGTTTGTAAACAGCTGCATTCTTACTGTATCCTCACATGGCCGAGGAGAAAGAGACTGACAGGCATCTGGTCTCTTCTTCCCTTTATAAGGGCACTAATCCCATCATGGGAACTCCACCCCCATGACCTCATCCAAACCTAATCACCTCCCAAAGGCCCCATCTTCAAATACCATCACATTGGGAATTAGAGCTTCATGAATTTTGAGGGGACATAAACATTCAGCCCATAGCACCTTTCCCTATATGATTTCATTTAATTTTCTCAACTACCTTACCCTCTCAGCAGCTACAAACTGATTAGAAGTGGTACCAGGCAGCCTGCTCCTCTGGGGACATGGTGGTGAATAAGACAGATCTGGCCTGTAGTCTCACAGAGCTAAGCTCCCTTATCAGGTAGATGGAATAGTCCTGTTATAAATGCTTACCTGGCCGACTAAAGGGTAGTCTATGTCAAGGGAGCACTCTAGACCCCAGAGGCCAAGAGCATGAAGGAAGCCTCCCGTCACTGTGTTCCCTGTCACTGCCCTTGGGAAGGGGCTGGGGGTTGTCCCACACCACATGCCTTTCACCCCCACCACCACCTTTAAAAGACACCATCAGCTCCCAGGGACTCTGTTGCTGACTGACTCTCGCCTCACACCTCTCAGCTGTGTGACCCTTGCCCTCTGACCTCAGAACTGGTTGTTGGGATACAGTGTTTCTGGGGCTTGAGCATAGGCTTTCCCTGTACCTTTTTAGCTTAAATTGCTCCCCTGCTCATGGTTCTCAGCTTTTGGTCTTGCCTGAGGCAAGTATCCCCTATTCCTTCTCAGCCCTGCAGAATGTCTGCATTTGGCCAACACCGGCTTCCTGCCAAGGAGGGGGTGGTGTGGGCGAGGGTTGGACATTGGGCTCCATTGTTGCCATGTCTGGGGCTCCTACACAAGCATTCCTCAGTCCTCCATGATCCCTCCTTGTCAGGCTCTGAAGCCATTGTCCCAGGGAAACAAGATGTCTAAGTGCATAGCTAGTTCTTTCAACCACATTAAATTTATAATCTAAAAATCCCTACGCTTTGAAAGGTGTGGCTTGGAAGGGAGATATCCACTTTTGACCAGTGGGATGTCTCATGGAAAACCACAGAAGACAAAGAAACGAACTTTACTTAGGAGATAGCAGAGAGTAGAGAGGAAGGAGATATGTTGATGATTAAAGAGAGGGGTAGATCTAGGGGTTTACTTGCAGTGAGAGGGCATTTGTTAGGGACCTTGATATTAAAGTGAAGAATGTGGACCTTTATTGTAAGCAATAGGAAATTCTTGATCAGAGGAGTAACATGATGGTTTCTGCACTTGAGGACAGTTGCATTCCAGCAGGTTTTAGAATGGGTTGGACCAAAGAGAGGCAAAAATTAGAATAAACATCTAAGAGGTTGTTGCTATCTATCTATCTATCTGGCAAAGAGAATCCAAACAGCCAGGGGAGTTTGAGAATTAAAGGGAGGTACAGGGCTTCCCTGGTGGCGCAGTGGTTGAGAGTCCGCCTGCCGATGCGGGGGACATGGGTTCGTGCCCCAATCCGGGAAGATCCCACATGCCGCAGAGCGGCTGGGCCCGTGAGCCATGGCCGCTGAGCCTGCGTGTCCGGAGCCTGTGCTCCACAGCGGGACAGGCCACGATGGTGAGAGGCCCGCGTACCACAAAAAAAAAGGGGGGGGAGGTACAAACTCAAGGGACATTTTAAGAGTTTTTAGGAAGGAATTAGGAGGAACTTTGTCCACCCAGATCATCGCTTTTCAAAATGGAGATCTCAATAAAGTGAAATTTCCTGCATTTCTGCCAGTTTTTAAGACCTTCAGAGAGAGGAGTCATGGGAACAAAAGAATTTCCATAATGAATGAGACTCTCTGGTCCTTGCACTCAGTGTCCCATTGACCACAATAACCTGGGATGCCCTGAGAGTACCAGCTTCTCCTCTAGGAGTCCAGATGTGGGGTCAGAGGACCACTAAGTGTCTATATGTACACACACGATCTCGAGCCATTGATGTGCTGAATACAGAATATATCAGAATGCACTTCAGGAAGGGATGTTCAAGAAAGTACTCCCATACCGGTTATAAAACTCCACTGCAAATAACATCAGCATCTTAGCACCCGCTCTCCCTATGCTGTGTAATATCCACTCAGGAAGGAAACAGAGACTTGATGATATGTTTTTCTACTTTGAGCATGTAGGAGAATTGGCCTTCTCTAGAATCCCTACCAACTCATGTCCTTCATTTTCAACATCTCATTTAAAATTCAATTAATTGAGGAAACTTTCTAAGGTTACTCCTAAACTTGGTGTTTTTCCTGGCCCAGGAGCCCAAAGTATATAACCCACATCAAGGAACCCTTTCACACACTTTAGAAATTTTAGTATCAATAAGTTAGGCTATGAAAAAAATCACTTTACCGTAAAGGACTCCTATAATAGCTGTTTCTTTCAGCGCTTCGCAAGATTTAGTACCCATTCATCTTTTCAAGAATATAGCTATTGCACTGTTTGTGACGCAACTATGTCTTATTTAGGCACTTCCTGTTACTAGTTTTGTAATTATATCCTTTGATCATTTTATGAATGCCTTCTTTCTGATTATATTATAAATTCCATGGGGGCACAAACCTACTGTATTAATTTTTTGGTATCATTTGTAGTTCCCACTGTTATTTCTTGGTACACAGTGGGCATTCAATAAATGCCTTTCCCATCAGATCAAGTTGTTAAATCAGAAGAGAAGTCAATGGTTTATAGTTAGGTCTAAATCTTTTGTGACTGGAGAAGAAAGGAAATGGGCAGGTATCTCAGCTTTAAAATGGCATGGGAAATTTGGGTTTTTCTCTGTAGCAATTCGAGTAGATGATATTGGATTAACCATGTAGCAGGGATCATGGAAGTGCAATACAAAACCCAGATGACAGTATGAAATGTATTTTGTGTGTATTCACAAAATTCCACAGAATCAATCACCCTCCCTTTGACCGAGTTAATATGAACTCCAGTGGCAGTAACCCACGGACCTCTAATAGAATTCACCGATGGGAAATAGTAACAGTTCCCATGGAGGCATTACTTTCGCTGCCGACTGTGATCTATGGATGACAGCCTCCCAGAAAACACATTGACACAATAGGCTGTAATGGCTCAGATGGGGCCTTTATGCTATATCGGGCCAGTGATCCGCAGACAATGTCTCGCCAGGAGGTTTCTCAATTGCCTTCTCCAAAGCTTTCCCTCATGCTTTCAGGGCCTGTCCATGTTCTTTCCGGAGCTCAGGGATGTCTGCCTGTGCTCTAAGGCTACCGAAGCTTGCCTCAAGGCATCTCCATTACACTAATGAGCCGCTGAAAAGCCAATGAGAATATGAAGAATAGCTACAGATGGAAGATTTTCTCCAATTTGCAATGATGTAGGTGTAGATGTGCTTGCTTATAAAGTGTAATTAAGCTCCAACAGTCAGATTTGGGCTTTATATCTTTTCAAGCCCTGTTAACCAGTTTGAAAACTGCTTTGTCCACACCTAAAGAGAACTTGTTACCCATAGGCCAGTTGGTCAATCAGTCAACAAATGTTTGGTAAATATGCATGTTCATAATTGTGCAAGGCATTGTTCTACAACACGTAGAGAATAATTGACTTCTGCCCTGAAGGAGCTTCTGATTGAGTTAGAAGAGGTGAAACTGACCCATGTGAACCCATCTGTAATTATAGCCAAATTGCTAGGTTGGTGTATTCTTTGATCTGGACTGTTTTGACAATTATGCACTCAAAGCTGCCTAATAAACACCTGTACTTCACTCGTCAATGCTTTAATACAGTGACGCAATGGGCACATGACCCGGCACTGAGCAGTAACTCAGATAGGTAGTACATGGCAAAGGAAAGAGTGGATTCACCAGCGGGTGCTTAAAAGACCTGAATCATACATTCTTAGAGTAAATCAAGGGCATATGGGAAGTAGGATTGGGGAGAAGGGAAGAGGGGGAATTACTAACATTTACAAACACGAATTACACCCCAGACACTTAACAGGTTGCCTCATTTTCCCTTAACAAGTGCCCCATGAGGTAGAGATTAACATCATTTTACACATGAAGAAATAGCAGCACAGGGAGGTTACCTGTCTTGTCCCATGTGACACAACGAGAAAATGAGCAAACCAGGACTCAAATCGAGATCTGTCTGCTCCAAAGCCCACACCCTTTCCACTCCCTCAAAATCCCTTTCACACCTTCTATCATCTTGACCAAAGCAACTGTATAACTGCTGTCTCTTCCACCTTACTATGTGAATAGTATTCTTCAAAATAATTCTGGGCCCCTGATTCTGTGTTGGGTGGAAAAAGGGAGGGATGGAGCACAAGAAAATCAAGGTGAAGAACAGATTTCAGAGACTACCTTCTGCCAGTTCACAAAGTTAAGGCCAGGGCTGGTGTTCCACCAGGATGCCTAGTCTGGCATACTAGCCAGCATCCATTCTAACTGGTCAGTGCAGAAGTTATTGAGGATATGACATATTTTTAAAATATCATCCTCCCCAACTCCTTAATGGGTTTCTGAATTTGGAGGCACTGAATATTGGTTTTTGAGAGGAATAATGTCAAATTTGAATGCAGCTCTAAGGTTAAAGGAAGGCAATACAAATAACACTTATTGCTGGGAGAAACTTTATACTGAGGAAAAAATCATTATTTCAGTCATGTACTTTATATATTTTTAAATACCCTTAAAATTATTAGAAAACAATCATAACATTTGTATATAAAATTTTAAATACATATTATAATTGGTCTAAACTTATGACATAGAGGACTCAGATTTTTATTTGTTGTATAGATTCTTAAAAAACATAACTATTCTTCTAGCTACCCCAATCCATTTCAAGTATCTAACTTCTCAGAGATAAGCACTTTTAACAGTTTAATGTATATCTAGGTGTTTTCTATCCATAGAGGAACAGAAAATATATTTGAAATATGTGTTTGCTTTACAAAAATTTAGTCATAATTACTACTCTGCAGCTTGTTTTTTGTACATAATGTACCAAGGACATCATTCCTTGTCAATATATAGAGATCCATTTTGTTCTTTTCAGTAAGTACATAGTCTGCCTGTGTATGGATGTGTCATAACTTCTCAAGCCTTACTGACATATATTTAGAGTGTTTTCAATGTTTTGATAAACAATGCTACCAAAAATATCTTTGTGCATTTTTCCCACTTACATGAATACTTTAATAAGAAAAACACACTCTTTTAAATACCCTGATCTCCTTTTAGCAAATTAATGTCAGATATTCATCTGTGCCTATTTTATAGAAATACATACATATATTTAGTATGACTGTGTATAATTCACTGACATATTATTATGCCAATATGATAAATTCGTGTTAGGATAATATATGAGATGTGTTCTTGATCAGATACATCACCGAATATAATATTGCACTTATAATTAACAACAATTTTCTTTCAGTTACAGTCAATGGGTACCCAAAGCAGTGAAAATCAGGCACTATCCTAACAGGTTTCAGAAACACTGTCAGAACTCAGAATAGTAACTCAGCGAGGACTGGAATAATCATAGAAGGCTTCTTGGAAGAGCTGGACCCTCAACTGCCTTGAAACATAAGGAGGATTTGGAGAGCCTAAGAAGGGGCAGGTGAGAATATGAACCTGAGAAGTCAGGACCACGGACAGAGCAAAGATGGGCCAATGGAAGTGTACAGTTTGAGAGGAGCTGTGAGAAGAGGCGCGAGGGAAAGTGAGGCTTCATGATGAGGATTTTGAAAAACAGATCAGAAGGTCTGGATTTGCTGTAGAAAGAAGAAATAAGGACCAATGGTCAGTTTGGGAGAGTATTTAACAAAGCTGACAGCCATAGGAAGTAGGGCTTGAAGAGGAAAGAAAGTGACGTATTGAAACAGTGGTAGATCCAGGGCCTACACTAGGGTAGTAACCCCACAAATAAAAAGGGTTAGTAAGTGAGACATTCCACAGGAAAAATCAACATGATCCACAATAGTGGTTACTGCTTAATTAGAACTTACTCTGTGCCAGGCCCTGTGTTAAGTGCTCATCATCTCATTTAATACTCCTCATGATGACCCTTTGAGTCTATATGATAACTAACCTCACAGATAAGATACGCTAAGACTCAGAGAGGTGAAATGACTTGCCCAAGGTCACAGAGATTACAAATTACAGAGCTGGGATCCCAATCCATTTCCATATCCAAAACCAGGAACCAGAGCTGAAATGCAGATTTACATCACAAACATTATGGAGATTCCATTCCATATTAACTCATAGCTTCAATAAAGGAGATGGTCCTTTATTTTCTAGAGTGTTTCCCTCCTTCCAAGAAAAACTATGAAAAGATAGTTTCCTAAAAAAAAATGACTGAGTTCAAATCATTTCTGGGATAGTTCCACTCAAGCTTATGAAGTGCTTAAGAAGCAAAATAACCTAAATTCTGGGTTATATGCAATTCTAGGTTATATGGAAATATGCAAAGCCATGGAACATTCTAGAACTATCCACACTGAAGGGAGGTTAAGTTTCCTCTCTGATGGGGGCTGCTGAATATTAAAGATGCCTTGTGTTTTGGGTACCATTGATTGTATAATGATCTTCAGCCCCTCAGGATCATTGTGTTAGCACCAGAACAGCCCCATAAGGGAGATTAGCAGGACTATTTTGCACTTTAATTGATTCCTTGAAACATTTCCTAGATGAGGCCATTATTTGCATTTTCCTAATGGCCAATCCAAATGTAGAGCTTCTAATGGTTGGGATGTGACACACAATAAGTTTGTGGCCATGTAAAGTAAAAACAAAGAGGAATCACAATACTTAGTCCCATTTCTCCAAATGCTAAACCACTTTCTCTTCCCAGTAACTGCCTATATAAATAAATAAATAGGCAGTCCCATGGAAATACAATTTCAGAGTATGACAAAAATTCAACTAAAGCTACCTGTAATGGATGAGATATACTCAAAACTCCCCATGCTAGAATAATACAATACAAGACAGAATCTAAATCACAAACATGACTGCTACTTGCCTAACCCTTATAACAGTCTTCAGTAATACAAGATCCAGAGCCAACAGACCAGGGTACAAATCCTGAGTTTCCAACTCACTAGCTGTGGAAATCACTTCTCCAAGACTCAGTTTTCTTATCTGTCAAACAGGGAATAAAAATGCTACTTACTGCCTTGGCCAATTATGAGAATCAAATGATATAATGCATGTAAACTGCTTAGCATGGGGCCTGGCAGATAAAAACTCAGATTTGTTCCTATTACTATTTTATATACATTTAATGTATTCTATGCAATACATCATACCATATACAAATAATGTCTTTTATTCACTTTTTTTTTGACACTTTGTGTGTGTGTGTGTGTGTGTGTGTGTGTGTGTGTGTGTGTGGTACGCGGGCCTCTCACTGTTGTGGCCTCTCCTGTTGCGGAGCACAGGCTCCGGATGCGCAGGCTCAGCGGTCATGGCTCACAGGCCTAGCCGCTCTGCGGCATGTGGGATCTTCCCGGATCAGGGCACGAACCTGTGTCCCCTGCAATGGCAGACGGACTCTCAACCACTGTGCCACCAGGGAAGCCCAACACATTTTTTTATTATTATTATTTTAAAATTTTATTTATTTTTGGCTGCATTGGGTCTTCTTTTCTGCATGTGAGCTTTCTCTAGTTGTGGCGAGCGGGGGCTACTCTTGCAGTACAAGGGCCTGCGGTGGCTTCTCTTGTTGTGGAGCATGGGCTCTAGGCTCACGGGCTTCAGTAGTTGCAGTGTGTGGGCTCAGTAGTTGTGGCGCCCAGGCTTAGTTGCTCCACGGCATGTGGGATCTTCCCAGACCAGGGCTCGAACCTGTGTCCCCTGCATTGGCAGGTGGATTCTTAACCACTGCGCCGCCAGGGAAGTCCCTATACATTGTTTCTGATCTTTAAACAGCCCTTCAAAAAAGGTGGTGTTAACCCCCTTGTATAGATATGGCAATGCAGGTTAAGACCAGTCATGTGACTTGCACCAAATTAAATAGCTGCTAAGTGTCAGGGTCTTGCTGACCCCAGAGCTCAGGTGTTTCACATGAGGCATTCTGTCTCTCAGAGTTACCTTGGTCCCCATGCAAACCACCATCCTGACTGAAATGTTGAAGTAATTCCCATCCTAAGTCAGTTTCCACTGCCAGCCCAGTACTCAGCTCGAAGGATGATGCTCCAGCGAGGCTCGCCTACCAGACAAAGACACACCAACATGAACATGTTTCAAAATGTCTTTCACCATAGAAACTGGCCACTTTGACAGGCATATTTTAGCAGGAAACAAAGTAGCTTGCTTTCCAAAGTGCTTGCTCTTGCATCTCATAACCAAAGGAGAAGAGCAGCATCTTGGTTTTTTTTTATTGGCCCAGAAGCTTTCAGTTACGTGAGTTTGGCACAAAATGACAGCTGTTAACCCAGCAGGCCATCTCTTGGCATTCCAGTGATGGCTACATTAGTGCCACCACAGGCCCAGACCTGTCATAAGCCTTTCGTGAACCAAAGTGCCACTAATTTTCCTCTTATAAAGACCACAAGATGGTATCCAGGCTGTGCCTTTCAATTTATATTGTTCTGCCATGCAGCAGCAAGATCATGAATTTTAAATGCCTACTGTGATTTGGTCCTATAACTCCACCATGGGCCTGATGCCATTACAGAGAGAATGGGGCAAAGTAAGTATAATATTATTTTTATGGTGAAATCTACTTAAAATAAATCCTGAGAATTGAGAATAAATTTTGTTGAAGATCCTCATTAACTACGAATTCCCCCTTCTCCCCCCTGCCCTCACCTCACCCTCTCACACATTATATAAGCCTTATTGTATAGGACTCAGCATAGGACTAAAACAAGCGTCTTACTGCCTTCCACAGATGCTGGTAATAAAGGGTAGAGATAGTGGAGATAAGATAGAGGAGAAGGATAGAAGAAGAAAGAACTGGAGGCCAGTGTTGATTGCTGCTTCATTAATAACTCATAATCTGTCTCTCCAAACCCAGGCTTCCCCTTAACTCTTTTTCTCAACTGATGTTACCAATATTCTCCTAAACATCCAGGCTTGAAGCAATGAAACCAAATCTTTGCCTTGTCCTCACTTTGCCACTCACACCTCGTCACTAAGTCTGTGGATACTTCCTTTACAATATCTCTCACCTCCAACCATTGTTTCCATTCCCACTGCCATCACTGTAATAGCGGTAATTATAACCTAACAACTGAATCATTGCAATTGTCAGTTTATTGTAAAGTGGATAAGAATTCAACTCTGGATGCAAACAAATCTGGGTTCAAATTCTGGACCAGCCACTTGCTAGCTGGGCGATCTTGGACAAGTTACTTAGTATTTTCAAGACTCATCCAAAGAACAGAGATAACAGTGAGTGACTACCTCTAGAGTTGTTAAAAATTATCAAGATAATACATCCAATGTGCTTACGTTATCTTTTAATTATTTTGCATAATCAATTTCCTCCCTCTGTACTTCACTCTACATGCCTATTTTAAGTTTCTCTTACTAAAATAAAGCAGTAACAGGTCATCTTCTGTTGCAAAACCTAAACTCTACTCCCAGCACATAAGACAAATACCAAATATCTTGGCCTCTCATTCAAGACCTTTTTCTATCAGAAGTTATCTTCCCATCCTACCTCCATTTCATTACTATTCACAGGTCATACCATTCTTTTCCCTTTCATCTCCATACCATCTCCATCATCCAAATGTACACAAACTTAGAGTCTACTTTCGATCCAGCATCCTTCATAAATGTCTTCTTGATACTTCAACCCAAGCTAGTCTCCTTTCTCCACCAAACCCTGTAGTTGACACCTATTTCCCATGTCATTTATGTTGCAAGGTACATATTGCCAAGCTTGAACTCCTTCTTTCATGTATTTACATCTTATTTTTGTAATTAAATGAGGATGTTTTTCAGTTGCAACCCAAGAGACCACCTTACAAGTGAAATTGTCTTAGAACAAAGCCTTTTGATTCTACAGTAACTGATTTATTTGGTTGCAGTCCAAAATGTACACATCTCACATGACACCTTGTCTGATAAATTTCAGAAGAAAATGCCTTTAAACAATGTGAACTTGGACCCAGAAAGGACTAAGAAGATATCAGTGTCCTCTATGTTGGCTTGGTAGTAGCCAAGGTGAAGCCAATGGTGACTATCTCAGGCTGAGGTCCTTCTTCAAGGCAGATGCCTAAGGCGGGTCCCTGGAAACAGGGAAAGGGCTCTTTGGGCTATGGCCATATGTCAATGGACAGAGATAGAATCCTTATCTTATGGGGCAGAGACCAAGGAGCCATAGCCCACCTCACATGTTGAGGGAGCAAATAGGGGAACCCCATCCTAGGTGACATCCATAGTATTCCTGTTTCTGATAATGGAATTCATACCACAAATCGTGTTATTTGAATGGAGCCTTTTTGCATACAATGAATCATAATGAATAAGAACTAAATAAGGTACCAGTGTGAATGAATTCTATTTCATAAGAAGATGAATTTTCTTCACCCTCCATATCCTTCTTCCATCCTTACTAAGCAAGCCATCTGTTTTTCCCAGCCAAGTTCAACAACAGAGCTTTGTCCCGATCCATTTGACAAGTTATAAAGCCAAGTTCTGCATTCCCAGAAGTCACTGACAGTTGGACCTAGAGCACCAGAAAGTGAGCCAAATCAAAACCAGGAATGGGGCTTCCCTGGTGGCGCAGTGGTTGAGAGTTCGCCTGCCGATGCAGGGGACATGGGTTCATGCCCCGGTCCAGGAGGATCCCACATGCCGCGGAGCGGCTGGGCCCGTGAGCCATGGCCGCTGAGCCTGCGCGTCCGGAGCCTGTGCTCCGCAACAGGAGAGGCCACAGCAGTGAGAAGCCCGCGTACTGAAAAAAAAAAGAAAAGAAAAACAGGAATGGACAGAGCAGAACCAGGAACAAGGAGAAAGTGGTGGTACGTTCTTCTCAGAAACTGTGTCACCATGGCAGCAAAGGAGCCATACAGGGAGGTCAATGGGAGATAAGATTGCCAAAATTTAAGAACCAAATAGTATAACCAGAAGAAAGAAGCAAGCTAACGGAAGGTAAAAGTGTTTGGACTATGATAATCTTCATCATCATCATCACAGTTGCCTCTCTGGACCCCTTAGCCCTAGGTGTGGTTTGGAATTCAGAATTTTGGGGCTTTAGATCCATTGACTATATTAATGTAAATGCATCCATATTTCTGCAGCAAATCACACTAAGTGGGATTAAACAGAGCCAGTAAATAGCCTCATGTCAGTTCAGGTCAGACTTTGCCATCAAATGAGTTTTGACTCCAATTTACAAACACACAAAACAGCTTTTGTTTTTAGAATCCAGGGGGTTCAGAATTACAAATGAGACCATGGACTGAGAGAACACTTGTGAAGTGTGAAGTGATGAAGGGTATGAGGACTTCCACATACTCGCTGGATTGAATCTTGGATGAGGGCATCATCTCCACTGCAAAAGGAGGAAGCTGAGGCCCCAGGAGATTAACAACATACTCACAGTCATCTGAAAACTCGCTTACATTTGAAAACACAGCTATAGATAGGTATCCGATTTAGAGATAGAAATCCCACTTTTCTGACTATGTACGTAGTCACAGTCAAAGCCATTCATGTGCAGTGAACCCAGATTTCTAAGAAAATTTTGATTTGCTGTAGATCTATTTAACTATATTCTGGGGTCTGTATTCATCTCATACTGCCACTTTATTGGCATTACAATTGCTTTCAAATGTCTCTCACTATTTTGGAATTCTTCCTTGATGACTTTGGGTTGTATTGGAGTAAAGAGGGTCACTTATTCTGAGGCTGATCATTGACATCGGTGACTCCATTTTCTGCTAAAGACAATTTGTGGGGAATATATCTAAGGTTATTTAAAAACTCATTTGATTCCACAATATCACCAGCAATTATCTGATAGCATGAGGTCTGCAAGAGAGAATTTTGTTCAAAAAACTAATTTTTAAAATGGTACAAAAAGGAAAGGATATCACGTTGTCCTCCCTACAGTCTGCAGATCATATTTGTGCATAACTATTATGGAAGCGCAACAGACAATTACACGTCCACCCGAGCATGCAGGGACAGCTTCACTGATAAAACATCTCTGTCCCTGCACATTGGCACCTTGCTCCTTCATCTGATACTCATTCCATTCTGCAGCCTCTCCTTTAGGTAGAGAGCAGCTTCAAATTAGATGCTCCGTTAGGTCAGGGGTGCCCACTCCCAGCACCACTCTAAAGATGCCTCTCCTTTAGTCACACTTGCATCATGATCAGCTCAACTGAAACCACAATGGGAGAGACAGTAGAGCATACCAAGGGGAAGGGGACAGAAACCACCCACCTTCCCTACCTTCTCCCCTCTGCCTACCTTCTTGAGATCCTGGGTCTTCTCGACAACCTTACTCTGTAACCAGGCAACATTCAGAACAATTTAAAAAGCCATGATCCCCGAGGGATGTATCATCCAGAAGCTTCTCCAAGTTTCATGGTACCCAAACTCTCTCCCTCAAGTGGACAGATCCTTTTGGAAAATAAATACCTATTATTTGAGACTTGTTTTCTCCAAGTATTGATTTTCCAGAATATAAACCTAGTCACTTGCCACATCTATTTCCCTTCGGACTTAAGTGTTCTGAGAAGTAAGTTGATTTCTTACACTTGAACCTACAAAAATGCAGTTTGGAGAGAGTAGAGTGTAGCGAGGCTAGGAGAACGAGAAGCAGTCCTCCTGCTAACGTGTGTGAAGATCTTCATTTGACTACTGTTAACATTAATGAGGGTGATCTGCCAAAATCCCTGTGCGCTGAAATGGAAATACGTGCTTCGGTATAGAGATTTCCTGTTACACTGTTTATAATTCACTGTATGAGGTGATCAACGTGTACTATAATAATGGCACTTATACATCACACTTGGAAAATGCTTTTTATTGACTTAATGTGAATATTATTGCCATCGTTTATTACAGACATGTTATCTTGTAGTAATTGAAATACAATATGGTGTCATTAATCATCCTGAATACAAAATGTTAACTTTAAACTGGTCACACTGTATTAAGTGCTCCTTTACCCATAAAGCAATTTGATTTGCAAGTCTGTGAAAAGCTGGATGTTTAGGATTTAGTGGGACTAGCACATGGAAC